TACTCATGATTTTATAATATCAAATTAAAAGCTCAAGGGATAATTTGAGAGTATATCTTTGTGACAAACGAAAGGCAAAGGGTATATGTATTTTTTCTTTTAATTCCAGGATTAATAGTTTATGTTAGTTGCAGGTGTACAATATAGTGATAAAGGGCATATATTTGTAACATATAAAGAATAGTTTTATAAATCAAAAAATATAAAATGGCAGATACATTCACTGGCACTGGAAAATTAGGAAGAATTAGGAAAAAAACATTTCAATTGATGAAAGTATGTTTAATTTCACTACTAATAAGAGAACCAGAAATATAAAGAGAGCCCAGTTGAAGACAATGGACTGTGATTATGCATTAGATGTGCTATCAATAGTTAGTAAATAGAAAATAAAATAATGAAGCAGAATGAAGCACAAACAGTAAAAATAGTAGTCATAATACATTATGTTTGTACTATGTACATATATCCAGAGGGCTGAACATGGCTAGAGAAAAATTCTGAACCATGATGTCTGGTCATATGTGAATTTATGACCACTAAACTTTGTGGTCTTTAGCACTGCCTAGTAGATATCTTTTTTTTTTTTTTTTTTGCCCTCACTCACTTACCTTCCCAGTATCCTAGAAGACTATTTGATGCTTACTCTCTTGTCAACTTCTAACGCTTTGTTTTCCCCTTCTCACTTTCAGTTGATGGATAACTGTTATGAATTTGTTAAATTAATGTTGTTAAGTGGAGCACAGGGTGCTGGATATTGAGCCATGGTTCAACAACAGACCACAAGAGAAACTGAAATAGAGGTTTATTATACACAGTTCCTGGAGGAAGTATCCAGCATACCTTGAGGGGCCACATGGGAAGTCAAGGCACAGTATGGGGATAGACAGGACCTGTGGCACATGCTTTTCTGAGGGTTCATGGGTAGAGAGCTTTGGGGTTTCCAGGCTAAGGTGGGATTGGTCAAACCAAAAGAGCCAGGTTTTAGTTGGCTCTTTGGGGGAAAGGTCTTATATAAGGGACATATAAGGGAAAGGTGTTGGGAGGCAGGGGACACTATTGATAATAAGGGCAGTTGGGGAAGTCCTATCAAGAACCTAAATTTACTTGTGACTCTGCAGACTGTTATCTGGGGCACTTGCATGAGCTAACTTCATTTAAGGTCACTTCAGGCTGCTTGGCCAAACCAAGTGGATGCCAAGGCAGCAATCATGAAGTAACTTTAGCTAAACTCTTGACAATCCCCTTGCTTCTTACACCACTGAGTAAATAGAAGCTTTTAGAAGAGAGCTTTTACTTCTTCCCATAACCACATCTACCAAAATATCTGAATCTGTACCCATATTTTCTCTTTTTATTTCTTTGGAAGAACTATTCTGTCATCTAAGCCCAAACTGTGTACACTAAAGACTCAAGGACCCAAGGATGTCACTGCAGTTCTCCCTTCTCTCTCTTGCATCATCAGTATCACTCACTGTCCTGGATCATTCCTGTCAACATACTCACATGCAATTTTATCTTCAGTCTTTTGAGAAAAATCTCTTTTGATCTCACATGTCCCTTGAAGTACTGTTCCGTTTCTCTGCTCCTTTTTATAGCAAAATTCCTCTGAAAAGTAATCTTTACTATCTCCATTTTTTCCTTTCTCTCTTGATCTCACTCCAATTAGGCTTGTATATACACCATTCCCCTAAAACAGCTCTTGTCAAAATCACCAGTGATTTCAGTACTGCTAAATCCCAGTAGGTTCAGTCTTTATCTTCTTTAGCATGTTTGCAGCATTTGCCATGGTTGATTTCTTTCTTCTAGAAATACTTGTTCAATTAGCTTTCTGTCTTGATTCTGCTTTTGCATAAATGTTTACCCTTCGTAGTATCATTGACTGTTTTTCCCTTATCTTACTAGCCTATAAATGCGGAGTGCTTCAGGACCCAATTCCTCAGATTTTTCTGTCCAAAATCACTCCTTAAGTGTCTCACCTACCCTTTGGTCTTAAATATATTTGGATGATGCCTAAAGTTTTATCTTCAACCCTGACTACTTGACTGACTCCAGACTTGTTTATCCAACCATGTCTTGGATGTTGATTAGACATCTCAAATTTAACATGTCCAAATCCCAAAATTTAATGTTCCTCAAGCTCTCTTTGTCTAGATCTCAGATAATGTCTACTCCATCCTTCCAGTTAGTCAGACAAAAGCCTTGGAAACATTCTTCTCTCTTTCTTTTATATCTCTTATCTACTGCATCAAGAAATTCTGTTAGCTCTACCTACAAAATATCAAGAATTTTATCACTTTCTCAGTTACCACCATTACCCATCTTGTCCAGTTCATATTTAGTTCTCACCCAAGGTATTTTAGTTGCCTCCTAACTGTTGTCTCTGCTTACACTTTTGATTTCTAGAGTCTCTCCTCAGCCCATGATACTCATGAAATATTAATTTGTATTACTTCTCTACTCAAAACTATCCTCTGTCCTCCCATTTTACTGAGTCGGATCCAATATATGGCTTAAAAGGCCATATATTACTTTATTTCCAGTGACCATTCTGTCCTCAGCCACCATTCTCCCCTTGTATGGATACTACTATTTCACTGTTCTTTGGATACACCGATTGTGCTCTTGCCTCATTGTCTTTGCACTTGCTACTGGTCCCAAGGCCTGGAAAACTCTTCCCTGAAATCTCTCTGACTCTTCCTTCCTTTAGGTTTCTGCTTACATACCATCTTTAAGGACAATCATTTTTAAATTATCCCATATAAAATAGCATCAACCTTCCTTTTGCTTCCCAGTTCTCCAAGACGAGAATTCCTTTCTGCATTACCCTTGTTTATTGTTATTATACTTAAATCCAGTTGACATATTATGTATTCACTTAATATCATTTATTTTCAGAATCCATGAGCTAGAACATTAATTCCATCAAGGCAGCACTTGGTTTATTTTGTTTGCTACAGTTGCCTAGACCCTAGGATTATGCCTGTCGTACAAACGCTTATTGAGTAAATGATGGATTAATATGTAGATGTGGTGTGTTTGTTTTTTAGGAATTTGCTCTAATAGGTATTCTTTCAATCTGAGGATTCCATTTAATTCTAAAATATTCTCAGCAGTTACCTCCTAAAAATATTGCTCTATCTTTCATCCCATTATTATCTACTTCTGGAACTCTTTAGGCATATGTTGGGAGTTCCACGTGAAATCTGCATGTCTTAACTGTGTTTTCATATTTTTAATCTCATTTCTCTATGTAGCGTTCTGGATGAATATCTCATTGTTATCCATTTCACTTGTTCTCTTTTTACATCTAGTTTTGAGCTAAGCCCATTGAATTGTTTTTTAATTCAGGGATTATAGTTTTTCTTTTCAAGGTTTTCAATAGATTATTTTTTAGATCTACTTATTGTTTACTGTTTTTGTTTTTAATTTTAGTCATTCTTTTAGGTCATTAAAGATCCTTATTTTAAAGTCTTCTTCAGTGTATTCTGTTATTTTCATTTTGTCTAGAGTAATTGCTTCTTTGAATTATTGAGTTAGTGTGTGCATGTGTTGTGTGTGTTTTCTTCTTGTGTTTTGAATTTTTTATTTCTGGTCAAATCTTGAGTAAGAGGGTTGCTGTTACTGTTCTCTTTTTCATTTCTCCACCACCCTTCCTTACCCAATGCCTTTTTTTCTCTAGAAATTTCGTGCTTGCCACTAAATTGTCACCCTCACCCCATCCTGAAATAGGTTTTAATATTGGTAGCTTGAGGCTCTTAGCCAACAGTGACACAGAGGATTTGTTGTATTTAGTACCTGAGCTATGGAGTGTTTTGGCTCAGTGCCTGATTGGGATGCTGTCTATAAACTTTTGCCTTTCTAAATTTTCATATAATCCTTAGTTCCAGGCAAGGGTGGGGAGAGGCTCTGGTTTCAAACAGTGAGTGTAGCTATCCTGCATATTCAGCAGGACACTTTTTCCCAATTATCTCTAGGCACCAAGCTCTTTTTCACCTTAGCCTGCATTGAGATCTGGGCAGTATACAACAGCTTCATCCTTGTTTATAGCATTGTATTTCTGTTTAGTTTGTAATCCTTAGAGATTTGGCTGTGTCTCCTTAATTTTTTTCTATTATGATTTTCTATTAATATTATAAATTGAGAGAACAGGGAAGAGCCTCAAAGTGTGAACTTACTATGCTAACTTATTGGAAAAGTCTAACTTAAGTTTTTAAAATGTAGCAGTACACCGTCTGAATGTATCTCTTAAAACCAGTGATGTGCTTTTCTGATTGGTGTCTCTTCATTCTGATAATTCTTTTGTGCCTTCTAAGGCCCTTTCGTTCATTTTACTGTTTCCCAAATGAGGGTTCTTTTCTTCTTCCTTACCTACTTTGGATTCCTTAGTGATTTAGGTATAGATTTCTGTTTACCTATTTTTAGACGAGATTGGGCGCATTCAGGCGGTATGGCCGTAGACTGTTTACCTATTTTTAAAGTTTTTTAAAATTAGAAATAAATGTCCAATAAATTTCTATCCCATTTTTAAAAATGTTGGTTATTATGAAATCTCTAGCTCTCTTCTGAGTCTTTTGCTTCAAAAGTGATATTTTATTCTTAATTTAATTGTGTGCATAAAATGTTTATGTTAACATATGATTAACATAACATAATAAAATAAAATTAAAAAAACAAAAAAGAACATATTGTCTTATTTATTATTTTAAATTGATATAGTGGTTACTGCAATCAATATTAAACATGTTTTAAGTATTTTTTTTATCATGCATGTAAATCTGGAAACTAAACTGTTGTTTTGGTATGAAGTTGTCTTAGTAGTCAGTAGTTTGTAAGTTGTTGTCACCTGCCATATGGTTTCTGATTAATTCTGAAAGGGCTGTCAACCCCAGATAATTTAATTTTCTGTATTTTATAAAGTGATACTCATTTTCAGGATGTGAAAACTTAAAGGATTAGCTACCAATTTTGACTAATAAACTCTGTATTTTTCTTTCTAGAGAAAAACAGAAATCTGAAGCTAAAGACAGAAAAGTTTTAGAAATTCTGCAAGTCAAGGATGCTAAAATACAAGAATTGGAACAGGTTGGTGTTATACAGAAAATACTAAAAATTAGTATATTAATTCAGGTAGTAGATCTTTACAGTTATTTAAATTTTTTTTTGCAACAATGTTCATTAAGAATATCAGGGTCATTATATCAAATCATTACTATTTTGAAACTACTATAGTCAGATTATTCTTCACTATTGTAGTTTGCTTATAGCCTGTTGTTTTTTGAATTAATAGACTATGCCATTTATATTTTAAAAGTCTTAAGATAGTGTTATGGTTTTATAGTAGTATCCAGCAATTATTTATTGTTTTATTGAATTTTACCTTTTATTATTAGCAGTTACCATTTTATTATTAGCAGTATCATTGAAACTTGTAAATTTTCTGATGGCTTCATTTATAAAAAAGATTAACAAATAACTGGGATGATTCTATTTGATCTCTTGAAAACCTGTACTTTCAATTTATACGATCCCATGTTTTACGTACAATCAGTAAATTATTCAATTACATATATAACAAGATTACATATAATTATATAATCAGTATATTATCACTGCAACAATCCATGTGATCAGTGCTTCCCAGAGCTATTTTCAAAGTATAAACATCTCAAAAATGAAGGAGAAAGAAATTTATTGCAATAATGACCTATATTGTGATAAAATATTTAAATTCATTTTGTACCCAATTGCTCATTATGTGCTGAATTGCCTGTAATTTTTCTGGCGTAAATGGAGCCTCTTTTTGGAGACTTTGCTCTTTGACGTTTAATCTCTTTTCCTTCCTAGCCAATTAAAGTTTTGGGAGAACTTTGATCTAAGTTTGGTTACTGTTAAAAGTTATTTTATTAAAGGACTTAAGGTAGAAGTTAATTTAGAAAAGATTCAATTTTATTTTTATGTTCTCTACATCCATATAATGACTTTCTAAAATGGAATATAAACTCCTATGTGACATATAAGTTTGAAATTTATACATTCTCCAATGTTGTATTTTCCTTATAGGAAATACCATAATTGGTAGTATAATGATAAAACTTTAGAAATAACATTTTAGTCAGTTTGCTCTGGGGGAAATAAAACAGTTGTATTTGCTACCTGAGTATCAAGAGAGAGCAAAATGAATCCTAAGATGGATAAATACTGTTATGTGCCTACTCTATTAATTAAGCGAGGCTAAGCTGCCTAATAGATACAACCTTATGACTTAAAAGTGGCAAATGCCATTTGTACTCATACTTCATTGAGGAAAACTAGCCATATTGGCCGCCACAAGATTCAGGAGGTTTGGGAAAATGTAAATCCAGGTTGAGCAATCTATCCAGTTACAACTCTATTCTATAGAGGAGAATGGATTTTGCCACTCTTTGATATTCTTTGGTTTTAAGTTTGCAGTGCTTTAGGGAATGCTTGAAGTTTGCAGTGCCTTAGGGAATGCTCAGGTTACCATATCTAGATAGCTAGCTATAGCATACCATTTTTTAAAATGTTGACTCTTAAAAATGACAATATATTTCCCCTTTTCTTGCTAATTTCTTTTTCTACTTCCTCTTCCCTATTATTTACCTTTTTGAGCAGAATCACTTAGCTTGTGGATAAAATATTAAATTTCCTTAAGAGAAATTATTTGTTTTTTAGGGGCCCTAATTTCTTAGCCTAAATCATGTATATTTTTGTTCATCGATGGTTATAACTTTCTACAAGGTATAATATGTTAAATGTATATACTATTCTGGGATGGTATTATGGGAAATTTAGAGTTACAATTTTTGCCTTTAATGATTTTTAAATCCCTTTGAGGAGTAGGGTGGGGCTAAAAGTAAGGTGCAAGTAACCATATTCTCCTACACGATATTTCAGAATGAGAGGATGGGGAACCTCATGCACCCATTCACATTTGTATCCCTGACATCCAATATTTCCATATTGCCTGGCATATAATGGATTCTCAATATTGTTGAATGAGTAATATATTATTATTTTATTGAAGTATAATTGACACAGTATCCTGTTAGTTTCAGGTATATATCATAGTGATTTAATACTTTTATACATTATGAAATGATCCCCACAGGAAGTCTAGTTACCCTCTCTCATCACATGAAATTATTGTAATATTAAAGACTTTTTCCTATGCTGCACATTACATCCCCATGACTTATTTATTTCATAATGGGAAGTTTGAACCTCTTAATTCCCTTCACCTATTTCACCCACACCCTACCGCCCTCCCTTTTAGCAACCACCAGTGTGTTCTCTGTATTTATGAATCTGTTTCTATGTTTTTGTTTGCTCCTTTGTTTTGTTTTTTTAGCTTCCATATATAAATGAAATGGTATAGTGTTTGTCATTTTTTGTATGACTTATTTCATTTAGCATAATACCCTCTAGGTCCATTCATGTCGCAAATGGCAAGATCTCATTCTTTTCTAACACTGAGTAATATTCCATTGTATATATACCACATCTTCTTCTTAATCCATTATCTTGCCATGGAAGCTTAGAATGCTTTAATAGTTTGGCTATTTTTAATAATGGTGCAATAAACATAGTGGTTCATATATCTTTTCAAATTAGTGTTTTCATTTTTGGGGGACAAATATCCCGTAGTGAAATTACTGGATCATGTGGTATTTCTATTTTTAATAGAGGTAATAATATTTTAATATGGAGGTTGAGGAACCTCCATACTGTTTCCCATATAGGCTGCACCAAGTTACATTCCCAACAGTGCATGAGTGTTCCCTTTTCTTCACATCCTTACCAGCACTTGTTATTTTTTATCTTGTTGATACTAGCCATTCTGACAGGTGAAGGTGATATCTCAGTGTGGTTTTGATTTGGATTTCCCAGATGATCGGTGATGTTGAGCATTTTTTCATGTGTCTGTTGGCCATCTGTGTGTCTTCTTTGGAAAACTGTTTCTTTGTGTCTTCTATCCATTTTTAATTGGATTATTTGTGTTTTTTTGGGATTGTGTTGTATAAGTTCTTTATATATTTTGAATACTGACTATCAGATATGTCATTTGCAAATATCTTCTCCCATTCAGTAGGTTGCCTTTAGTTTTGTTGATGGTTTCCTTTGCTGTGCAAAGCTTTTTATTTTGATGTTGTCCCAATAGTTTATGTTTGCTTTTGTTTCCCTTGCCTCAGGAGACATCTAGAAAAATGTTGCTACGGCTGATGTCAGAGAAATTACTGCCTATGTTGTCTTCTAGGATTTTTATGGTTTCAGGTCTCCTTAAGTCCTTAATCCATTTTGAGGTTATTTTTGTGTATAATATAAGAAAGTGGTCCAATTTCATTCTTTTGCATGTAGCTGGCCAGTTTTCCCAACACCCATTTATTGAAGAGACTTTTTCTCGTTGTATATTCTTGTCTCCTTTATCACATTAATTAATTGACCACATAATTGTGGGATTATTTCTGGGCTTTCTTTTCTGTTCCTCTGATGTATGTGTTTATTTTTGGATCAGTACCTTACTGTTTTGATTACTATAGCTTTGTAATATAACTTGAGGTCTGGAATTGTGATACCTCCAGTTTTGTTTTTCTTTTTCAGGATTGCTGTGGCTCCTCAAGGTCTTTTGCAGTTCCATACAAATTTTAGGATTGTTTTCTAGTTCTGTGAAAAGTGCTGTTGGTATTTTGATAAGGATTGCATTAAATGTATAGATTACTTTGGGTAGTACAGACATTTTAACAATAAGTGTTCTTCCAATCCGAGAGCATGGAATGTCTTTCCATTTCGTGAAGTTGTCTTTCATCAATATTTTATAGTTTTCAGAGTACGAGTCTTTCACTTTTTTGGTTAAGTTTATTCCTTGGTATCTTTATCAGTTTTTATCATTGTGTGTGTGTGTGTGTGTGTGTGTGTGTGTGTGTGTGGAGTCTTTTAGATTTTCTGTATATAGAATCATGACATCTGCAAATAGTGAAAGGTTTCCTTCTTCCTTATCAAGTTAGATGCCTTTTATTTCTTTTTGTTGTCTGATTGCTGTGGCTAGGACTCCCAGTATTATGTTGAATAAAAGTGTTGAGAGTGGACATCCTTATCTTGTTCCTGATCTTAGAGGAACAGGTCTTAGTTTTTCACCACTGAATATGATGTTAGCTGTGAATTTTCATATATGGCCTTTATTATATTGAGGTATGTTTGCCCTAAACCTACTTTTTGAGGGTTTTTATTTTGAATGGATGTTGTACTGTCAAATGCTTTTTCTGCATCTATTGAAATGATCATATGGTTTTGATCCTTTCTTTTGTTGATGTGCTGTATCATGTTCATTGATTTCTGAATATTGAACTACCCTTGCATCACAGGAATAAATTTCACTTGATTATGGTGAATGTTTTTTTTTAATGTATTGTTGGATTAGGTTTGCTAGTATTTTGTTGAGGATTTTTGCATCTATGTTCATCAGAGATAGTGGTCTGTAGTTCTCTTTTTTGGAGTGTATATCTGGTTTTGGTATCATGGTAATGATGTTCTCCTAGAATGAATTTGGAACCTTTCCTTCCTCTTCTATTTTTTGGAATAGTTTGAGAATAGATATTAACTCTTCTTTAAATGTTTGGTAGAATGCACCTGTGAAGCTGCCAGGTCCTGGACTTTGATTGTTGGGAGTTTTCTGGTTCACTTTCCTGGCTGTTAATTTATCTATTTTCTATTTCTTCTGATTCAGTTTTGGGAGGTTATATGTTTCTAGGAACCTATCCACTTCTTTTAGGTTGTCCACTTTGTTGGCATATAATTCTTTATGGTATTCTCTTAAAATCCTTTCTATTACTGTGGTGTCAGTTGTTATTCCTCTTTTTTAAATTTTTTATTGTTATGTTAATCACCATACATTACATCATTAGTTTTTGATGTAGTGTTCCATGATTCACTCTTTGTACATAAAACCCAGTGCTCTATGCAGAGCATGCCCTCTTTAATACCCATTACCAGGCTAACCCATCCTCCCACCCCCCTCCCCTCTAAAACCCTCAGTTTGTTTCTCAGAGTCCATCATCACTCACGGT